CTTTCCCTATTAGCACGTGTGTACGTGCCCCTCTGTGTATATAAGCACAGGGGGCTGGCAGAGCAGGGCTGCAAGGTCTCACCCAGAATTAAAGCACAGCTGAACCAAAACGTATTTTTAAGAAAAATTTTCTTGGCAAATTATGAAGAATCAAATTAAGGAAATGTTTATTATGCTACCCTTCCTCCCAAACAAGTCAGTAATCCCATGTTTTTACTGCTATTCCATAAATACACAAGAGATATACAGTGAAAGTATGTATTTTTAAGACAATTAAAGTATTTAAAATTTCCTGACAATTAAGATAAGTAAAGATACAATGAAGTGTTTCACAAGTTCATGAAGTTGAAAACATTACCAAAGAAAATATATCAAAGCAAAATCTTACTTTACCAGAGAAGCAAAGGAGAAATTTCTGTGGCAGAAATAGTCACTTAAAGAAAAACAAAAAGCTGCCTCAGATCTAACCAATTATTGCCTCAACGAATTTTATCTGCCAATTCCTCAACAAGGACATGATGTAGAAAAGCCAGCAGACCCTGCCAGATGAAGAACGGAATCTTGCCTTACCGTGGACTTGGGAGCTAACCTAACCTAGGTGCATTTACCAAAAGAATGTTAGGCCTCCAAACCAGTACTCCAATGGGCAGGTGTTAGACCTTCTCTCCTTTTATTAACTTCCCAAGCCTTTCTACAGCATGTATAAATTTTTCTAGTTTATTGCTAATAATTCATTTACTCAATCATTCAACAAGTATTTATAAAAGCCCTGCCAGGCACTATCACAGGGACTGAGAGTGGCAGATGAGACTCAGGCCCTGCCCTCAGGAAGTTTCCAACCAGAGAAAGAGATTTATCAATCATTCATGCATTCAACAAATACATATTGAGCTCCACTGTGTCTCCTGGAAGACCAGCATGAAATGATCTCCACCATCATGGAGCGTAAACAAGTCAACAAAAAATGTAAGGAACTGATCCAACTGTGATAAGTGCTATGGTACAGGGTAAGGGATGGAAACCTCTCCACACTGACAGGTCAGAAAAGGCTTCCCTCCGATGTAAGCACCTGAGTCCCACAAGCAGGCATCAGCTCAGCACAAGAGGTGGTAGGGCAATTCCAGGCAGAGGGAACTGCCCTAAAGTGGGAAGGGGTTTGGCCTTCACCTGAGGAACTGAGAAAAAGCCCAAGTTGTGTTTTTCAAACTAAGATCAGGACCCATGAGATGAGCAAAAAAATCAATTTAATAGCTCACAACCAGCATTTTAAAAAAAGGAAACGGAACAGAATAGAAAATATCAGGCCAAAAAAAGAGAAAATATCAAAGTGCATAGAAAATATCAAAGAGTAAGGGTAGTATCTTTCGCTGAAACTGTTTCAGGTACTTATCTGTATGCCTGTAGATGTTATTATTATTATTTTTTTACAGTTGGGTCTGGATCAAACAGATCATTTCTGTTGGAGCAAACAGAAATGAGAAGATGGGCTCAGGATGTCTGAAGAGGTTCCAGACTGGGCCTTGCAGACCATGGTAAGATTTATTTTTACTTCATTCCAAGGATAGTGGAAAATCATTGAAGGGAAACAATGGAATTTTTTTTTTTTTAAATCTGGCTACAACGTTGTAAAAAAAAAAAAGAAGTTGATGTAAAAGCAGTTGAGACAGCAACTGGGATTCCAGAGAACTAATCAAAGTAGGAGGTGATGGGAGCAGTTTTCATCTAACAGGAGAAGGTTACTGGTTGAGAAGCTGGCAGGAATCATTAAGTGTTACGATCTTTCACGTAAGCTTCAGGAGAGCAGGACTTATTTATCTTACCACCTAAAGGGGAGCCTACTACTTAGGAACGCGTTCAACAAACATTTGTTCCACAAATGGCAAGAGCCTGCAACAGGGTGGTGGCCCTGGAAATGAAGCAAATGGCAAGTAAAGCATTAAAATGATCAGGCCTTACTGATTAAGTGCACAGACTGACAGCATAGGAGCTACTAAGGAGAACTCCAGATTTCTGACTTCATTGTGTAGTCTTTGCCCACCCTACCCCCTCCCATACAGACAAAACTGAAGGGTTTTGTGCCTTGTTGATCTACCAGCTTCGGGAGCTATCTTGAAACTCATTCTAGGCACACTATTTGATTTAATGATCTCCATTTTTATGTTCAAAAGTTTGAGCTCTAAAGAGCAAACCTCGCATCATTAAAATGATCTTTATTTTAATTGCCTCTTTCTGGACGTCTGCTGGCCAAATTGTTACCACTTGAAGAGGTGAGGTAGCAGGCTGCACAAAGACAATGACTACGGCGCCTACATTTCACAATTTAAGTAAAAGACAATGAGAGTCAGCACAATATCCTCACCTGTGATATACTAATTTGCACATACTGTTCAAAACTACCACGAAAAAGTGCTGTAACAAGTATTTGAAACAAAAAACCAAGAGAACAGATGGGGCCCCATAAGGCACAAAAGGTTTGAAAGCGCGTTTAAAATAACCACGAAATCATTAATGTCTCAAAACGTATATCCTGCAATGGCGTCTCAATTATCGGGGAGAAACTTCTCACTGTCCCCCTTACAATTTCCTATTAAGTCTCTTTTTCTAAAAAGAGCTTAGATCCGACAACCTTAGCTCCATTCATCCCTCCGACATTCACCGGGCGCCGGGATGGGCCCAGAGAAGCGGCGAAACCGCGGCCGGGCCTCCGCGTGGAAGCCGGCGCCCCCCGCCCCAGCC